GGGAGCCGGGAGCCCGAGGGTCCGGCTGGCGTGAGGCGGCCAGCTCTGCCCGCTCCCCCTCCTCTCTTGCAGATGCAGTCCACGTATGTCCTCCAAGGCCTTCACCTCCACATCCCGAACATTTTCCCAAACTACCCCAGCAACAGCTCGGGGGCGCTGGGAGCCCAGGCCGGCGGCTACAAGGTGAGGCGCGGTGTGTGCAGCCGGGTCAGGCCAGGAGGGCTTCCGCCTAGAAGAGGAGGGAATGAAGCGGCCTCTGAGCTCCCCTCACCCCGGCAGGGTGCCCTCGGGGCATGGGAAACGCACCTGGAGGGTGGGTGGATTGTGCCACCGCCTGGCCACCCTGCTGGGATGCCCAACTGCTCCAGAGAGTTCAGGCCAGTGCACTACCCCCGCCCTCGCTGGCTGTTCTGAGCGGGCTCGCTGCCCGGCTTGTCCCCCCTCCGCTCCGCCTCTCCCTCTTGGGACCCTGCCTTTCACCAGGACTTTCCAAACCAGCACCTTGGCATCTCAGAGCTGGCAGGAGAATGGCATATAGGCCACCTACCCCCTTTGCTGCCCGTGGCAGACACAAATCAATCCAGACATTCTCTAGTCTATGCTGAGCTGGTGGATGTGCAGGCAGCCACTACCAATGGGTAGAAGTTAGAGGAACCCATTTGCCCACCCCTAGTTACACAGCTGAGGAGTGTGCCTCCTGGAGCAGGGGGTGTGGGGGGGCTGGCTCTGGGTCACTCAGGGACAGTCTGGGGTCCCGGTCTCGGGCGCCAGCCCCGAGCTCCTTCGGCCTGCCAGCTGCCTCTCTTGGCTCCCTCGTGCCCAGATCCCGGAGGCCTGGCTCCTCCTGGCCAACGTGGTGGTGCTGCTGGTCCTGGTGCCCGTGAAGGACCGCCTGCTGGACCCCTGCCTTCTGCGGTGCCAGCTGCTCCCCTCGGCTCTGCAGAAGATGGCGCTGGGCATGCTCTTCGGCTTTGCCTCCGTCGTCGTGGCAGGTGTGTGGGCCACGTGCGGGCGAGGGCGAGGGCGAGGG